TGCGTCTCATGCGCTGCGGAAACTATTGGTGATAGAACAAAAGTATGTTTTACAATATTGAAGAAAATATAAATTACTACAAAAAACTTCGTGATACTGTATGCCTAACTATTATCGTTATGTCACAATAACCACTTTTTAAAATGTCGTAAAAATGTCCACCCGTGCGAAGCCGGGACTGGGTGCTAGTATTAAATAAATAGAAAATTACATGGTACGGAGACTAGATGATAGATAGATCTAGATAGAAAAAACTTCAAAATAATGATAGGGACAATAACGGGTCATTGTCCATTAAACAAACATTTATACACAACAGGAGCCACAGACAGCCCTCTATGTCGAGGCTGTTTCCACGCCGAAGAAATGGCTGCTCACGTAATCCTGGAATGTGAGGCTGTGGCCCATCAACGTTTAGAAATCCTCGGAACGGTGAGGTTGCTCCATGAGGCCTGTGAAGAACCCAGGAAGCGGTTACCGTAGCCTATGAACGCCTGCAATACCAGAGGTATTACGCGCGCGTTGCCGACCCTGAAGAAACCTCTTTACCCCCCTTTTGAAGAACCCCATGCTGTAGTCTCTTGGGAAAACCTCGGCATGGAGCTCATTCCATAACCTGATTCTTTTTGGATATTTGGTTCCTCTAGGAAAAATATTTCATTACACTGATATTTTTTTATTATTTTTACAAGTACAGACTATATATACATTGTATTTTTAATTGGTTACTTAGAGAAGTCACTGTAAGCCATCAAAGTTGTCGTTAGATTAGGGTTGTCATCATCTAAACTGCCAATGCCAGAAACAAATTTAAAAATAAAGGATTGTCTTAAACGTCCCTAAAAAAATTGTACTTAAACATTGTAATTTAAATTTGCAATTTAAATATGTTTCTAACATTCAATCAACTGGATTTTATTTTAACGATTTATTTAAAATTGTTCGGAATTCGAACTCTTTTTAAAACTCCTTTCGGACTAATTATTTTGGGGACACTTGAAAGGATGACGAAATAGCATTAGACTCTATAAATTTTTGTAAGTTGAGTCACGTTGTAGGACTACAAACATGTTGCAACTTTTTCGTGTTCATTTTAAATATTTTTTGCGACATTGCAAAAAAAAACAGCTTATCTTTTGTTTTGTTTGATTGTTTGGCGCCAACGTTGATAAGGGTTATTGGATTGCATTGAAATAAGTAGGTAAATAAATTAGAAATTTTATTCAACGCCATTTTTTGGCCAAGGAGAGAAGCCAAGATACAGTTTGTGTATTTTTTGATACCATCTGATGGTAAGCGGTTACCGTAGCCTATGAACACCTGCAATACCAGGGGTATTACGCGCGCGTTGCCGACCCTGAAGAAACCTCTTTACCCCTCTTTTCAAGAAGCTCAATAGGTACTATGTTCCTATGTAGAGTCGTAGAGAATCTAAACGGACACGGTTCAACATTCATACATATATTCTTTATTGCACTAAAACATACAGTAATAATGACAGTAATAACTTAGGCAAACGTGAACTTATCTCTAAAAGAGATTTCTTCCAGTCAACCTAACACAATGGCATAGAAAGTAGTGAGTGGGCAGCAGTAGTGCAAAACAGAAATCAAAACAATAATAATAAATATTTACATATTTATTACGAAATATACTTCAATTTTCATAGAACAAATTATTTCAAGATTTTCAGGGGCTTATTATGTGTGGTTAGCATCTGACACTTTTACAGATTAAAACGAGCTCCTCGATACTACAAGCTGAATTGAGTTTTGAAGCCACAAGTAGGTCAATGCAAAAAGGCTGCTCTACTTTTGATCTGAATTGAATCTGTTTCATTTTAAATTTTTAAATGTTAATTATAATAAATTGGTTGCCTCTAGTCTGTCAGCAGGTAGTTCTGAAACGCAATTGTGCAGTAGTTGTTTGGTGGAAAAATTAGAATAATAATAATAATAATTTATAATAATAATTTATTTATTTGCTCGAAATGTGGTAATAATAATGGTCTTAAATATAATAGATCAATTTGCCTTATCTAAAGGCATGCAAATTTAGTATTATAATTTAGTGGCCTACGTATATTAATAGCCGAGTAGGATCAAACCATAAAATATATTAGCAGTCACACACATACTAATAGTAGCAGAATACACAACAAATGCAATAACAAAAAAACAAAAGAATACAGAAACAAATACAAATACAAACTAAACAAAAACAAATACATAACAAGTCAATAATATAACAAATGTCATACAATACAACTGAATTACACATTTACATACATACATTAAATTTTTTAAAAAGTCATTTATTGAATTAAATTTAATTAATAGAGATAGGTAACATTCGATATTTATATATTGATTTCATCTAAATATTGATAACCGCCCATTGCGATATCGCCCATACCAGTCGGATATCGATATCCATTACGAGCGAGTTCTTCTTTACGATATTGGATAACCGATAGTTAATATATCTGGAGGCGGGCCTGTGTTTCTGCTTCTAGAGTATAATGTCAGAAGTACAGATACAGGCCTACCCTACTTCCTCCTTCAGAGGGGGTGGGGGGGCGTGGTCTTGAGGGAGAGCGCAGAAGTCGTGTAGATCCTCAAGGCAAGTGCGGTAGACTAGCCTTCACGAGGTTGCCGCCTTGTTATTGGTCTAGTTCCTTAAGAAATAGACGTAACTAAAACTGCCGTGCGTCCAAAGCAGGGATGGAGAGGTCATGTCCTTGCGTGTTCATCATCAAACAAGACTGATGGTGGATAGTAATGACCTCCCGCGTGTTTGTGCCGTGCGCGGAGACCCGTACGGAGGGATGAAGGAGTCCTGGAGATTGAGTGCAGCAGTGTGCCGGCGGTAGTTGTACGCTGCTCACAACACATCTCTTCGGTCTGGATTTCCTCTCAAACGGGCGGTCGTGGAGTAGCTAACCACGATCAATCGGCTGCGACATCCCATAAGCGGGTTGTTAAGCGAGGATCGGCGATTTGGGGAGGGATAGTCGGCGCGGCACGGCGTCTCGAGGTAGAGCCTATGGTATTGTCTCGTGCCGTAGGTGCGCTCTTGATGCTTTGCTGCGTGCAGATTCACCTTCTTCTCAAGTTGCTGAGCCTATACCAAGGGAGTAGCTCTGGCGATCATTCGTAGAACGAATGACGTCCCCGACGTGAGGGCTCCGTGGCGGGTGGAGAGCTCCTGAGGTGAATAAAACCAAACAACCTCATGGACAATGAGACAAATAACGAAACAACAAAACCAACATCACAGGCTGCGTCATTGGATGCGCCTGAACATCAATTACCAAAGGCTGCGTCGTCGGATGCGCCTAAACATTCAGAACAAAGGGTTGCGTCTCAGGATGCGCTTAAGCGACAACCGCTCAAGGCTGCGTCCTCCGATGCCCCTAAGTCTAAAAATGCAAATGATGCGCCGAAGAAGGCTGCGTCCAAGGATACGATGAGGAAGGTAGCGGTACGGAATGCGCCAACCCAGGCAGCGTCCCGAGATGCACCATCCACGTCGTTGTCCAAGGATGCGCCGTGCAAGGCAACTCCCTCTACCCGACCAAGGACGGCTACTACAACGGTGGAACCAAGGAAAGACGCACTCCGAGATGCGCCAATTAAGGCTGCGTCAAAGGAAGCGTCCTCCAAGGGAAAACCAGTGGTGCTGACCGAGGCTGTGGCGGAGGGTTTGTCTTCAAAGGCTGCGTCAGATGCAGAAATAGACTATCCAACGATGGATATGTCATCCCTTAAGGATGCCATACAATCACCATCAGACTCAACCTGGAAAACAATAACAAAACCAATATCGGCCTCTAAGAAGCGGCGCCTTAAAGCCAAAGCGAAGGCAGCGGCACAACGTGCATTGGCAGCAGATGCTGCGAGGCAGATCGCGGGACCGGGTTCTCGCCCAGTGGAAACCAAACCAGTAGGAGAGGTAACATTGGGCGGGCCCTCGGCACCTGCGTCTGTCGGTGCGAGTGCTACGCCTTCCACAGGCATACGCAAGCGCAGCATGAAATCAAGAGGTCGAAAGAAATCAGGTAATAATCAACAAAAACCAGAGCCGAGGGCGCAGAAGCGTGCACGTCCAGAGGATTCTGTAACACCGACTGGGGTTGGTAAAAAACCCAAAACCAACAAACCCCGAACGGTGAGAGGAACCGCTGCGTCGTACGCTGAAGCGGCCGCAACCTTCATCGCTAACGAGCTCTGCGTTGCTGTTATGATGGAACCCTTCTCTGACATGACGCAAGAGCAAGCTGAAGGTATTCGGCAAGAAATAGAAGGCAAGCTTCGGGATGAGCTCATGGCGGAACCGGATGCTTCCCTTGAAACTGAACCAAACGATATAAGGTTCCGAGGCCGAGCACATTATGCGGATGGCGTCCTCAAAACCTGGTGCGAGGATGCTTTCACGCTAGCCCGGCTTAATCGGACCGTTCAAAACATGGCCTCACCGGTAGCTAATTCAAAATTGGTTGTCAGGCCACAATCAGCTATCCCAAAGAAAGTACCGTGTCTGCTATTCGTACCGGGTCATACTGGCGATTCAGCTGCACTACGGAAGCTTTTGGCGCGGCAGAACCGCAACTTGAACATTAACTCCTGGACACTGACACACGAGAGGGCCAGATCGGATCCCCCAGGAACCTGTCTGTTCTTCCGGGTGCCGGAAACGGATGCTAATCTGTTAAAGGCCCAGGACAGAAGATTATATTACCTCATGGGGAACATTTATATTCGGTTTCTGGATAAAGATGCTTCCCCACAACCCAATACAAACCCCACGCAACAACCGGAGGAGGCGCGAACCTTGACGCAGAGCGCGGCACCTAAGCCGACATTGTCGACGAGGGAAGCTGCGACCGTGCCTGGGCACGCGGAACCCCCGATTGCGATGGAAGTGCAAAATCTGCCTTCTCCGAGATCTATCTCGGATGAAGAGTGCTTTCCGGAAGGGGGGAGAGAGTGAAACCAGCGATGGTGTCCTCTACTCCTCCCCTCTCCGGGAAGACTAAAATCATACAGATCAACCTCCAGCACAGCCAAACTGCAACGGCTTCCTTACGCAGAGTGCTGGAAAACAACACACAGACCATATCACTGATCCAAGAGCCGTGGATCAGGAAAAACAGGATATGTGGTCTTGGAAACAGCGGAGGAAAACTTCTTCTAGACACCTCCGTAAGTAAACCGAGAACATGTATACTAGTACCGAAACATGTACCAACATTACTAATCAACGAATTCTGTTCAAGGAACCTGACAGCAGTCAGATTAACTAGGACAGAACAGCATCTCCCGGATATTGTCCTTGCCTCCGCATACCTGCCGAGCGACGAGGACATACCAACTCCGGAGCTCAACCTATTGGTCGAGTTTTGTGAGAGGGAGAAGCTGGATCTGGTCATCGCTGCCGACTCCAACGCGCATCATACCCTTTGGGGTAACGGCAAGTGCAATAACAGAGGTGAGGAAATGCTGCATTTTATTTTTAGTAATAACCTTACTCTAATTAACAAAGGTTCTGAACCTACCTTTATAAACGCTCGATCACAAACTATTATAGATTTAACTCTAACGACTGTTGGTATTTCGGAATCTGTTTGTGACTGGCATGTATCCAATGAAATATCATGCTCAGATCATAGATGGATTCGATTCTCCATTAATATGGAGTTGCCCAAACCACAGCCTAGACGTATACCTCGAAGGACTGACCAACATAAATTTCTTACACTGGTCAGGGAAAAATTTGACAATCAACTGCCACTACTAGACGATTTAGCGGTAACAGATCTGGACGATAGTGCAAACTACATCACGTCCATTTTAACCTCAAGCTATGAACAGTCCTGTGCCCTAACCACACCACAGTATGGGGGAGGCAACACTGGTGGTGTCCAAAATTGGAAAGACACCGTCGTAAGTTAAGGAAATTGTTTAACATAGCCATGAACAAACGGTCACAAGAAGACTGGAATAAATACACAACATCCAAAAAACAATATAAGAAACTCATACGCCAGAGAAAGCAAGAATGCTGGAGGCGTTTTTGTACAAATATAGAAAACAATAACCAGGCGATTAAAGTAAAAGCATGTCTCTCTAATGAGAAAGATCATACAATAGGTTGCCTCAAGAAACCTGATAATAATTATACAAAGAACGACACAGAAACAACCGAATTGCTACTAACCACACATTTTCCAGGATTCCAGACTACTGCGGAGTGGTCATGGGAACCATACAAGGAAAGGGAAACCAGTAGCTCGGACTGGGAAGTAGCAAACAGAGTTATAGATAAAGAAAAACTACTATGGGCAATCAGTACCTTTCTACCATTTAAAGCGGCAGGCCTGGATGGAATATTTCCAGCCCTTCTGAAATGGAGCGGGAGCGTCATAGCTGACTACTTAGTACAGCTGTTCCGAGCGTGCATAGCTCACCGTTACATACCTTTGAAATGGCGTGAGGTAAAAATTATATTTATTCCTAAACCAGGTAGAGGAGATTACACTGTGGCCAAATCCTTTCGACCCATCAGTCTCACCTCGTTCTTTTTGAAAACTTTGGAGAGACTATGTGACAAAGAGATTAGATGTCAAGTCTCCCTGTGCAAACCTTTACATCCTAACCAACATGCTTACAGTGAAGGCAAGTCAACTGAATCAGCACTTCATAACGTAGTATCCCGAATAGGCAATGCATTGCAATCGAAGCAGCCAACCTTAGGTGCATTTATAGACATCGAAGGGGCATTCGACAAAACAAACTTTGCCAGTATAAGTCGGGCACTAGCTACACATGGAGTAGAAATAACACTTAGAGAATGGATACATAACATGCTTAAACAACGAGCTATACAATTTACTGTAAATACTACCACACGAGGAATCGTCGGTAGGGGCTGTCCACAAGGCGGTGTACTGTCACCACTATTGTGGAATATAGTCGTAAATGAGCTCATAATAGAGCTTAACGATAACAGCCTCTACACGGTAGGTTATGCGGATGATATAGCTGTACTTTTAACAGGAAGCTTCGAAGGTACTCTGTGTGATCGCATGAGAGTAGCTTTTGAAATAATTGAGAGATGGTGCACACAGCATGAACTCTCGGTTAATCCTACAAAAACAGAATTAATCATGTTCACAAATAGAAGAGTTACATGTCCTTACAGACTACCAAAACTCTTCAATACGGAACTGAAACTTAAGGAAGAAGTCAAGTACCTTGGCATAATACTAGACAGTAAATTGCTTTGGAATAAACATCTTGACTACAAACTTAACAAAAGCACAATTGCATTCTACCAGTGCAAAAAGATGCTAGGAAACAAATGGGGTCTTTCGCCAAAAATAACTCTATGGCTGTACAGAGCTGTAATCAGGCCAATGTTGGTCTATGGTGCACTGGTTTGGTGGCCGAGGACAAAACTATCGACCACCGCCGCCAAACTAAAAAGCTTTCAGAGACTGTTTTGCTCTTCTGTCAGCGGCTGCATGAAAACAGCTCCTACAACAGCAATAGAGTTGGCCCTCAACATAACACCCCTAGACCTGCACATACAGCAGGAAGCGGCGTTAGCCGCTATCCGACTAATGCATCTGGATCTATGGGGTAAAAATCACTACAGTCCCCACACTTCTATTCTGAACCAGGCAATCGAATATGAACCTTTGATTGCGGCTCCGTGCGACAGGACTCATAATCATTATATATTTAACAAAAAATACCAAATACAAATTCAAGAAGAGGAAAAGGACCAATCCGGTGTACATGAATTACGCATATACACCGATGGCTCCAAAACCGAGAACGGTTCAGGAGCCGGAGTCTTTTCCTTAGACCTGAATATAAACGTGCACATACCGCTTGGCGTACACAGCTCAATATTCCAATGCGAATGTGTTGCAATAACCGAGGCTGCTGCAGCTGTACATAAGCTAGGAATAAATGGTTTTAGCATTAGATTCTTATCTGACAGCGCAGCAGTACTAAAAGCATTACGAAACAACAAGACAAACAACAAATTGATAATTGAATGCCACCATTCACTGGATAGGATATCTTCCAATAACCGAGTTATCCTCCAATGGATAAGAGGGCACAGTGGATCTTATGGTAACGATGCCGCAGACGAACTGGCTAGAAGAGGCTCAGGAACGAGGGTGGTAGGCCCGTATCCACTTCTTCCTCTTCCGTTCTCGCAATTTCGAATGTGGATTCGTCAAAGATCCGCTGACATACAAAACCAAAGATGGATACAGGCTACTGATTGCAGACAATCAAAATTGGCCGTACCTACGTTGAATCAACGACTATCAAAACGTTTATTACATCTAGATAGAAAAAACCTCAAAATAATGACAGGGACAATAACGGGTCATTGTCCATTAAACAAACATTTATACACAATAGGAGCCACAGACAGCCCTCTATGTCGAGGCTGTTTCGACGCTGAAGAAACGGCTGCTCACGTAATCCTGGAATGTGAGGCTGTGGCCCATCAACGTTTAGAAATCCTCGGAACGGTGAGGTCGCTCCGTGAAGCCTGTGAAGAACCCAGGAAGCTTCTGCGCTTCTGGGCGGAGCTAGGTTGGCTGTACTAGCCACGACTCACACGCACAACGGCCCAAATGGGAGGCTAAGTGCGGAAAACAGAGTCTTTCTTACATTACATTACATTACAATATATCTGTTATTAGACCAATACATGTATAGATATTGTTCTTACTACAATATATAGATGTTGCTATAAATATAAAAAACTGGACAGAGAGAGAGAGAGAGGCCTATAAAATTAAAGACAGCTAAATCCAAGTCTGTCAAATGTTTAGGAAAATACAAAAACTAATAAATTGTCAAGGATATGGAACGATATTCTATATTTTGAATCAGATTGAAAAAAAAATTAGAATATTAGTAATAATTTGAATTTTAATTAATGGAACTTTTAATTAAGAGAAATATATAGATACCAGAGAGAGACTTTGTACAAAACTCGATTGCTTGAGTACCTCTGTCCCATTCGAGTTTCAACCGTGAAGCAGTTGTGTTTGCATGGCTGTGTTTCGGTTTGAAGGGTGGGATATGGCGTGAATTTACAGGGTACAGAGGAATAACACCTGAGTCCTCAGGATTGGCAACGCATGGGGGGTATCATGGGCGAAACAGTATACTCTGTTATGTCCATGGTACTGCTCATGTCTATAGGCAACGGTTACCGCTTTCCATCAGGTGGGCCGTCAGCTTGTTTGCCATTCTAAGTTGTATAAAAAAAAATTTAAGTACATAGTGAAAATTAAATCGATTTTATGGCGTCTAGCTGCCTTTTATTTTATAGGCCTTAGTTCTAATCTAGATGACTTTTGTACGAAGTTTCCTTCTGGTGTAGAAGAGCATATGAGAATTGTTAGTAACAAGAGTTTTTTTTTTTAATGGATGATAATGGAATGGTAACCCCACCCGCGCTATCGGTATACACCGGCGGAGTACCAGTGAAGGATGATAGGTGAGTATGAAGCAGGTCAGTTAGCCCATCGTGACGAATTCAACAAGAAGTGTTCACGATGGTTTCTAGGGGGAACCACGTGGAGGTAGACCTAATAAGGCATATTGCTAGCAATGGGGCTGTCAAACTCCATTACTAACAATTCCCCCCACTAACAAGAGTTACATAATGGACTTGTTGCTTGGTAGCAAAATGTTTAATATTACAATACAATCGTTTGTGTGTATGTGTGTGTAGCAATAGTTGAATCAGACGTGTTGAATAATTTTCGTTATCGGAATTTTCCACTGTAGAACAATTGCAGTGGTTCGATCTTACTGCGGTCGAAACAGGAACAGCTGCTTAGTATGTGGTTCAGAATAATTACGTATACAATTTGTTTATTTATTGTATGCTTTTGTATATTTACATTAAATTATATTATAAATACTAGCGGCCCGGTACGTGCTTCGCTATGTATAAAGTGAAATAATAAAAAAAATATTTTAAATGACCGCATGAATGACATAACAACATGCTTGTACTGTCAACACTGAAAAAAGTTTCAATTTGACAGCACAATCCCGAACTTAAAAAAAGTTTGAATTTGACACAAAAATCTCCATTAACAAAACGATCCGCCATTTATTGAATTCATTTGTTACAAAAAAATGTGATAAATGAAGAACCGCTCGACCGATTTTGTGCAAACTTCACATAAACCATCTACTAAATAGTCCGAACAAATTGGTTTGGATAGGTGAGCCCGTTCTTGAGAGATAAAGTTACAACGAAAAGTGGCATTAGTTTTTATATATATAGATAGATTATGTTAAATCATAAATGTACAAATACGGACTTATCAGTTTTATTTTATCAGTTAAAGGGGTTTCTTCCAGTCAACCTTGAGAACCAGAAAGGAGAAAATATCTATAGAGTTTGTATATAAAGCATAACATATGGTAAATATACCATATGTCATTGAGTCTTCACTGCTGAATACAGCAGTGAAGACTCAATGGCGAATATAATAATAAACTTTATTTCTAGAAATGAAGAAAAAAAACAAAATTAGTCTATGGAACAATATAGCTATGACCCCCACACTAGGCAAAGCCTGTCTCGTGGAAAGGATAACGATGATGAAATTGATTTTTTTTTATACAAGTTAGAATGGCAAACAAGCTGACGGCCCACCTGATGGAAAGTGGTAACCATCGCCTATAGACATGAGCGGTACCATGGACATAACAGAGTATACTATTTCGCACATGATACCCCCCACGCGTTGTCATTTCTGAGGACTCGGGTGTTTTAACTCCAAATACATATTTCTATATGTATTTATTATTATTATATGTAATCGTACTTTGTAAATTGTTTATTTGAGTTCTAAATAGAGGTATAATAATGTTCAATCAATTTAATGGACACTCAA